TGCTGCCAATTCTCCTGGTGAGATCAGACCCCTCCTCATGGAAAACCATCTGGAACATTCCTTGCAGGGCTGATCCTTCCGAGATCAACATTTCGGACGAAATGTCCAAGACCACGGTGTGGAAGGCTCTGACCATGAACACAGAAACGCTCTGAAGCCGGGAGGAAGGAGGTAAAGGCTCAGCTGTGGGGTGGCCTCGTGGGGACAGCACAGGCCCACAGCCCCTCTGGGCTCTGGCCAGTGCTGCTGGGCAAGGGGAACGCTCTTGGGAAAAGGCAGCAGGACCATGGCCACCAGCAGCAGGACCATGGACACCAGATCCTCTCTGCAGGGAAGTGTGGGAGCTGCACCTGGAATCCTGGGATCCTACACCCTGAGAGGCTTTGAGGTGCTGGGGGCATCTCCAGAGCTAGGAGTGGAGCTGGAGAAGGGCTGGAGGAGCAGGAGGAGGGTCTGGAGAGCTCCTGAGGGAGCTGGGAAAGGAGCTCAGCCTGGAGAAAAGGGCTCAGGGGGGACCTTGTGGCTCTGCACAACTCCTGAGAGGAGGAGGCAGCTGGGGGGATTCGGGATCTGCTCCCAGGGAACAAGGACAGAAGGAGAGGGAATGGCCTCAGGTTAATCAGGGAAGGTTCAGGCTGGATATTGGAGAAAATTCCTTCATGGAAAGGTTGTCTAAGCCCTGACACAGCTGCCCAGGGCAGGGGTGGAGCCATCATCCCTGGAAGAGTTCCAAAAACTTGAATGTGGCACCTGGGGACATGGCTGGTGATGAACATGGCTCCCAGGGGACAAGGACAGGAGGAGAGGGAACGGCGTCAGGTTGACCAGGGAAGGTTCAGGTTGGATATTGGAGAAAATTCCTTCATGGAAAGGTTGTCCAAGTCCTGACAGAGCTGCCTGGGGCAGGGTGGAGCCATCATCCCTGGAAGAGTTCCAAAAATGTGGATGTGGCACCTGGGGACATGGCCAGGGGTGAACATGGCTCCCAACAGAATGAAAGGGAATGGCCTCAGATTAACCAGGGAATGTTCAGGTTGAATATTGGGGAAGATTCCTTCATGGAAAGGTTGCCCAAGATCTGACACACCTGTCCATGGCAGGGGTGGAGCCATCATCCCTGGAAGAGTTCCATAAACTTGGATGTGGCCCCTGGGGACATGGCCAGTGGTGAACATGTCTCCCAGGGAACAGGGACAGGAGGAGAGGGAACGGCCTCAGGTTGACCAGGGAAGGTTCAGATTGGATACTGGGGAAGATTCCTTCATGGAAAGGTTGTCCATGACACAGCTGCATGGGGCAGGGGTGGAGCCATCATCCCTGGAAGAGTTCCAAAAATGTGGATGTGGCACCTGGGGACATGGCCAGGGGTGAACATGGCTCCCAACAGAAGGAGAGGGAACGGCCTCAGATTAACCAGGGAAGGTTCAGGCTGGATACTGGGGAAAATTCCTTTGTGGAAAGGTTGTCCATGACACATCTGCATGAGGCAGGGGTGGAGCCATCATCCCTGGAAGAGTTCCAAAAACTTGGATGTGGCACTTGGGAACATGGCCAGGGGTGAACATGGTGGTCAATGGTTGGATTTGATGATCTCAAACACCTTTTCCCGCATGAACAATTCCATGGATCTCCGATTCTGTGTCTCCCACTGATGACACCCTCCCTCTTTCCCCTTTTTCCCCCATGCCCACGTTCAGGCGCCTCGACGCCGCCGTCGAGGAGCAGGAGTGTGACTCAGGGATGTGCCAAGGCAGACACGGAGGAGCGGCTCGTTTCCCAGCCGAGGGGTCCCACAAAGCCATGCAGAGTTTCCCGTTCCCCCCGGGCTGCTGCGTCCCGGGGGTCCGTGTTGTCCAGCCTCGTGTGTCCTCGTGTGCGTGTGTTGTGCAGTGGTGGAGGCTCTGCTACCGCTTCCCATCAGTTCTATTTTTTTAATCTCTAATTCTTCGTCTCCTTTCTCTCTTTTTTTTTTTTTCTTTTTTTTTTTTCCAAATATAAACTCTGAATGTACAAAACCATTCCCTGCTCGATCTGGCGCCTTCTCCTTCCTCACAGACGGGGTTTCGGGCTGGTTTGGGATCCTCCTTTGGATAATTTCTGTCTCTTACTAGTACAAGAGGGATGCTGTCCATGGTGGGACAGTGTTGGGAGCATCTTAGAAATTGGGATGAACCACCCCTGAGCACTCAGGATAGCACAAAGGAAAAGCTCCCTATGCTCCATTTTCCCATCTTTTTTGAGGGTCTTTCTGGGCTCTGCCACCAGCCTGAGAGCAGTAAAATCTAGAAATGTCCCTTTTTAGTCAGCTCCAAAATGACCATAAGGGAAGCTTAAAAATAAAATCCCTGGTGGTGCTGAGTTTGTGAGGGTCCCCAGGATGAGGTGAGAGATGAGAATCTGACTCCATGTTCTCAGAAGGCGAATGTATTATTTATATTAAAGAATGATATACTAAAACTATACTGAAGCGATACAGACAGAAGGCTTAACAAGAATGATGATGAAATCTTGTGACTGACTCCTCAGAGTCCGACACAGCTGATGGTGATTGGTTATTAAATAAAAACAATTCACATGAAACCAATCAAACATTCACCTGTTGGTAAACCATGTCCAAACCACATTCCAAAGCAGCCAAACACAGGAGAAGCAATCAGATAATTATTTACATTTTTTCTCTGAGGCTTCTCAGCTTCCCAGGAGAAGAATTCCTGGCGAAGGGATTTTTCATAAAATATGGCAGTGACACTGGTGGTGGGAGCAGCCAGGTGAGATGTGGAGTTCTGCACCCCCAGAATCTCCACCCTTGTTCCTCCCCTTCTGTCACCTCCTGGACTCTGTTTTTTCCTTCACCCCATCCTTGCAAAGCCTCTTTGGAGCTGCAGGGAACTGGGAAGTGCCTTTTCCTCCTCCTTTTCCTGCTGTTTCACAGGGAGAGGCTGGGAAGCAGTGAAGGTCCTGAAGCTCTCCCCACACTTTGGTGGTTTTTGGGGCTCTGGTGTCCCCCTGGGATGTGTGGCTGGGTCTGGGGACCGTGGAGCTGGGAAGGGAGGATGTTCCAGAGGAAAAGGTGCTCCCACAGCCCTCGGGAGGTTTGGAACATGCTCCAGCCTCTTGGAATACACAGCTGGGACAGGGGCACCACCACTCCTGCTCATCCCACCCATCCAGGAGCCTTCTCCTTCATGGAACCACCCCAAAAGGACAATGGGGAAAACAAGGTGGGGAATTGCTCTGTGAGAGGATGGAGGTGCCACCTCCCCAGGCAGGGCAGAACTCCATCAGGTTAGATGGATGGGCATTTGGGAAGTGGAGTTTCACTGCTGCCAGCCTGGGGCGGGCAGTGGCCGAGCAGGAAAAGCTGCCTTGGGCCTTCAGGAAGGAGAAGGGGCTGAAAAATGAAGTACGTTCTGGAGAAATGGAAAGTTGGGATTGGAGGAAGGAAGTGGCGGAAGGAAGTGGCGGAAGTGGCGGAAGTGGCGGAAGTGGCGGAAGGAAGGAAGGAAGGAAGGAAGGAAGGAAGGCAGGAAGGAAGGAAGGAAGGAAGGCAAAGACAACTCCATGTTTTGGGAGGATTTGATATTTCCTTGTGCAGGGGAAAACATCAGAGAGGGAAAACCTTCCAGAAATGGTTCCTGGAGCTGCTTTAGGGATAAACCCAAAATATCTTTGGAATGACCCAGAAAGTGAAATCTGACATCAATCCCCTCCCACTTCCCCCCAGGCCTTTCCAGAGAATTCCCAAAAGGAAATCCATGGGAATGGGAGCGACAAAGGCTGTAATCAGGGAATAAATCAAACAGGGAATAAACGAGGTGCTGACATTTTCTTTGTGTTGTTTTTGTGCTTGCTATGAAAATTCTGGAGTTGTTTCTCTTTCTGAGAGGTGGAAATTATTTTATTTATTTTATCCCAAGAGAGTTTGGGAACACTCTGGGCTGGAAATAAAACCAAGGGGGGAATTTTTAATTAAAAACATTATTTTATTTTTTAAAATATTTTTTATTTTAAATTTTATTTTAAAATATTTTATTTTAATTTATTTAATTTTTAGAATTTTATTATTCTGAAATTAATATATTTTAATTGAAAACTATTTCCAAATTATTATACTTTTATTTTTCCTGAATTATTTTATCTTAAAATGATTCTATTTTAAAAACTATTCTTTTTTAAAATTATATATTTAAAATTTTAATTTAATTTATTTCTCAGTGGAAGTAGCTGTGTCACACGTGTCCCCTGTGCCAACCCTGGCTGTGCTGGGACTCCAGGAATGCCCTGGAGAGGTGAAATTCCCCATCCGGAGCTGTTGCCTCTGCTGTGTTTCTGGGCTTTTTTTGGGCCCCCTTGCCCTGTAATTAATTAGAACTAAATAAACTCCAAAGAGGTTCTTTGGATCTGGGTTAAATTGGAATAATTTAACACCAAAAAGGGAATTACTGCAGGGTTTTTCTTAAATTTCTTTTGGCTCTGGTCAGTGTGGTCAGCCAGACACATCCTCATTGTCCCTTTTATCCAAAACTTGGGGAATTGAGGGGAAAATGCACCAAGATGGGAGTGAGAGGCTCAGAATCCCCTGGGACTGTGTGGGATCCTAGTGGGACACTTGGAGACACCAGGAATGAGCTGCAGGAGTGAGCAAAGGTTTTATTGGCATTGAGGGTAAAACGCAGGGAGAAGAAGCCAGAGGGAAATCCAGGCTGGAGGAACAGCTGATCCATGGGGACAGAGTTCAGGAGGAGCTCCCAGGGACCAGGGGCTGTGTCCAGGAGCTGCAGGTGATGGGTGAATCCTTCCCCTGGAGCTCCCAGGGACCATGGGCTGGGTCTGGGATCTGCAGGAGAAGGATTCAACCATCACCTGCAGTTCCCAGGAACCATGGGCTGGGTCCAGGATCTGTGAATCCTTCTTTGGAGCTCCCAGGAACTATTGGCTGGGTCCAGGAGCTGGGAATCCTTCCGCTGGAACTCCCAGGGACGATAGGCAGGGTCCAGGAGTTACAGATGATGGATGAATCCTTCTGTGGAGCTCCTAGGAACCATTGGCTTGGTCTGGAAGCTGCAGGTGATGGGTGAATCCTTGCCCTGGAGCTCCCAGGGACCATGGGCTGGGTCCAGGAGCTGCAGGTCATGGGTGAATCCTTCTGTGGAGCTCCCAGGGGCCATGGGCTGGGTCTGGGAGCTGCAGGTGATGGGTGAATCCTTCTGTGAAGCTCCTGATCCTGGTAGACGAGGAGAGGCCCAACCTTCCCACGTGGATGTGGCTGGAGAGCTGCTGCCTGGATTTTGTGTCAATTGTACCTTAAAAACAAACCCCAAAGAGCTTCAGGGAATGGAAACTCCTGCTAAAGTCAGGAGCTGAGAAAGGGCAGGGAGGGTTCCCTCGCTCAGGGAGGAGCTGCCCCTTGGGAATGGCTGGAACAGAAATGTCAGTGGTCCCAGGAGGGTAAGGCTGGAATGAGGAGGAAAATGTGAGGACAAATCACGGGGAGGACGAAACAGTCCCTTTCCATCCCAGAGTTCCAATCCCAGCACAAATGCCTCCATTTTCCTGACCTTATTACAAGAGACTGGAGGATCCTCAGGTGCTGCTGGGCAGTAGGAAAAGGGAGTCCAACCCTGCCTTGGCACCAGATCCATGGATTTCATGGAATCATGGAATGGTTTGGGTTGGGAGGCACCTCAAAGCTCATCCCACCCCACCCACTGCCATGGGAGGACACCTTCCTCTATCCCAGGGTGCTCTAAACTGACCCTGACAAGGGATCCACGGGCAGCCACAGCTGCTCTGGGAAATCCATTCCAGCCCTCCCCACCTTCACAGGGAGGAATTCCTTCCAATATCCCACCCATCCCAGCCCTCTGGCAGTGGGAGCCATTCCCTGTGTCCTGGCACTGCTCCAGCTCCCTCTGCAACTCTCCATGAGGATCAGGACTGGGGTGGTGGGTGGTTGTTTCCCAGCACAATCCCACCCCTCTCCCTGCTCCCAGCACCTCTTTGTGTTGATGAGCCAATGCACAAAGTCCTTGGCCTTCATCCTGTCCAGGTACCGCGTGAAGTCGCTGGTGAAGGTCCCCTCTGAGTGTCGCTTGATGTGGGACAGGAAGCTCTGGGAGTTCTGGGCTCCCAACAGCTTCCATCTGCTCAGGGTGGGAGGGGAAGGGAGGAAAATGGGGTTTAATGGACACCCCAGCAGGATCCTGCCCTCAGGAGATGCCCAGGGCAGGGCTGAGCCCCCCAAACCTTGTCCTGTCCCAGATCATCCCCCTCTTTCCTGCTTGGTGGATCCCAAACTCCACCCTGGCCCCTGCTTCCCCCATCAGAGCAGGAACGTGGGGCTCTCCAAGGTTTGCACCATCCCCAGCAGCTCCAGGGTGATTTTGGGTTTCACCACAGAGGGTTCCCATAGGACAGGTGCCATGGGAGCGCCAGCCCAGATGGGGCTCAGACCAGCCTGGCTGGCCTGGGGCAGGGTGTCTCTGCTCTGGGTGTCTTTGCTCTGATCCAGGCAGGAAATCCTGGGATTCTCTACAGGGAATGTCCCTGCCAGGAACTGCCCCGTGAAATTCCTGCTGCAGCTCCTCGGCCAGGCAGATCCCACTCGTGATCCCAGCCTGGTGTGGCTCCCCCAGTCCAGACCTGGAACTGGGGATGTTCCCTGTGATTTGTGGGATGTTCCCTGTGATTTTGGGGATGTTCCCTGTGATTTATGGGATTTGGGGGTGAAATGATGGCCCCATGAGGGGCTGCAGTTCTGGATCCCTGTGAGACATTCGGGCTCAGCCCAGGAGCTCTGGGAGCTGGGAGGGAATTTGTTTGGATCCATACAAAATAAACGGGAACATACAAGATGGATACATAAATGGGATCCATACAAAATAAACGGGAACATACAGGATGGATACATAAACGGGATCCATACAAAATAAGCAGGAACATACAAAACGGATACATAAATGGGATCCATACAAAATAATCTGGAATAGGGAGAGCTGGGACGGGAGTGGAGAGGGATAAGCTGCTCCCACAGCCCCGTACCTGGACAGCTCCTCCAGGTCCTTGGGAGCCACCTGCCCTCCGGCCGGGATGAGCACGGCGAGCACCAGCCCGGACAGGTACAGCCACTGCACCATCTGTGCTCCTGGGGAGGCAGAAACCCTTCAGGGAATCTCCTGGCTGCAATTCTCACCCCAAACCCTGCAGGAAGCCCTGGCAGTACAGCCCTGATCCCCTTGGGACAGCCCTGCCCGGGGTGTGGGCAGGATTGGGGTGACAAACCCACCCTCACCCTCCCCGTGGGCACATGGCACACAGAACAGCACCCAAAGATAAAACTGCAATGAATTTTATCCCAAACCTCCTTTTCTGTCTAGGGGTGACATTTCTATCCTGGAATTATCACCACAGTGCTGGAGAACTTTCCCACTGCTCGGAAAAGCGCCTTCCAGATGGGCAGGTTTATTCATATTTTACATTCCTTATTTTTGCTGGGCACCTCAGAAATTCTGCAGGAATAAAATGCCACCTCCCACCCTTTATTTGGAAAAACCAGACTTCTGCTGCCCATCACCAAATGCTCTCTTCACCTGGTTAGAATCCTTTGGAGACTGGGAGAATGAAGGGAGGGAGAGGCACCTACCTTGGGGATTGAGCTGCTCCTTCCACACCAGATCTGATTTTCCTCCTTCGAGCCAGTTCTGGCTGAACTCTTCTCCTCCCTGGTGCTTTTAAACTCGTCTGGAGGATGCCCAGAGATGACAGGTGGGTCACAGGTATCCTGCTTTTCCTCAGATGGGTCACTGTGAATCATTACAGCTTTTCTGGAGTGGGGCTACTGCAGACAATGTTCTTACTGGCGGATTTTCCAACTGACGCCTTCAATGAAGTTTTTTTTTAATTGTTGTTGCTGTTTTTCTTATATTTTCTTTTTTTTCTCCCCACTTTTTGGACCAAAGCAGTGACCTGTGGGTTTCCTCCTCTCAGGTGAGGTGACCCCTTGCTGGCACAGTATGTCCTGCACAGATTCCTCTGCCCACGGGCTCCCCTTTCCAGCACCTTCACTGGAGAAAACAAACAAGGAGGGGAAAAGAGCAAAGGCACAAACCAATGATTTGTGTCTCCAAACACTTCCTGCCGTGTGAAATTCCTGCTGCAGCTCCTCGGCCAGGCAGATCCCACTTGTGATCCCAGCCTGGTGTGGCTGCCCCAGTCCAGACCGGGAACTGGGGATGTTCCCTGTGATTTACGGGATGTTCCCTGTGATTTTGGGGATGTTCCCTGTGATTTATGGGATGTTCCCTGTGGTTTTGGGGATGTTCCCTGTGACTTATGGGACTTGGGGGTGAAAGGAGGCCCCATGAGGGGCTGCAGTTCTGGATCTCCGTGAGACATCCAGGCTTAGCCCAGGAGATCTGGGAACACCTGGAACTCATTGGTTCAGAGTTTTCCAGGGTGTCCCATAGGAACTGGGCTTGTTTGTTTCAAATCCTTGAATCCAGTGAAGGAAAAAGGAGAAGAGGAAAACTCAGGGCAACCCTAAAGAGCTGTGTCTGGGCCTGGAGGAGGGTGGGGGCTTCCAGGTGGGCCCAGGGCAGAGCCCTCAGCTCCCTCAAGAGCTTCTCCCCACCTGGGGGCTCTGCATTCCCAGTGTGGATGGCAGGAGGGGCTTCCAGGGCAGGTTTGGGATCTCTGGGGCGTTTCCAGCCAAGGAAGAATGTCCAGGGTTTGGTGTTTGGGGTCTGAATGTGCCTTTTCCCCCAGGCAGTGGGATACAAGAGCCAGTCCTGGGGAGCTGGGCCTTGTCTCCCACCAGGAGAGATGGGGGTGCAGGTGCCGATTTCTCTTTTTTTCCTCTTTCTCCAGAGCTTTCTGTGCTCTCCCCCCACCGGGACCTTTCTGCTCGTGCCTGGGTAATTATTGTCATTCCAGCACGGAGAGTTCTGTAATTACTGCCACTGTCAAAATAAGGTCGGTGTTTGGGGGACGCTCATCCTGATGAGCCTTTAATGAGGGCCGCTCGCGGCCTTTGGAGGGAGCCTGACATCCCCCGAGGGAGGAAAGGGGACATTAATTAGCTGGATCTCGGGAGGACAGGGCCAGCTCTGCTGCCCGTCACTCGGCTGGGATGTTTGTTATTAACGCCACCGAATTAGCTCACGGTGTCACCGTTTGCAATGTCCCCCGGCCCGGGAGGCCGCAGTGCTGTCTGTGGAGGTGGCAGCTCGGGGAGGGCAGATTCAGCTCAGCCCATGCTCCTCGTGTGGTTTTCTCCCCATGGATCCCAGTGCTGGAGTGAACTCAGGAAATGGGCTGTGGGGGCCCTCTCCCCACAGCCCTTTGGGGATTTTCTGCAGCCCTTTGGGACGTGGTGCTTCCCCATGCTGAGCAAACTCAGTCACGCTCCCTTTCCCAGCTGCATGGAGCTGCTGGTGGCTCTCCCGGGCTGCAGGAGCCCAGCAGGCAGGACCCTGAGCTTTGGGACCCTGCAGAGCTGAATCCATCCCGCTTCAGGACTTTGAGAGGTTTTTATGGACACCAGGTGGCAGCGTTTGTCTGTCTGTCCTTCCCTGCCTATCCCTCCTCTGCCCATCCTTCCTCCCCTGCCCTTCACCATCCTCGTCCCCTCCTCCTCCCTTCGAGGCTCCCAGAACTCCCGTCCTGCCCCTCCAAGGACCGGCGATTCCTCTTTTTGCGGAGGAGAGGCCCCAAGGGGGCTGCTTGGACATCCTGATGACATCACAGTGACATCACGGTGACATCACAGCCGAATTGGGACGGTTATGGTCAAACTCTGGGTCTGGGAGCATCCCCGGAGAAGCAGCTTTGAGGCTACCAGAGCATCGTGTTCTGATGGAGCAGGAACAAAACGCTGATGAGGGAAAACTCCTGGAATGTGTCCAGATACCACATCCATCAACTCTCATCCAGTCCCCATCCAGCCCTTTTCCCATTTTTCCCCAGGAGCTCTCATGAGGGTGAGCTGATCTCCCGGAGTGGGGAGAGGCAGGAGGAGCCAGGGCTGCTCCCATGGGGATGGTGGGACATGGTCCTGCTGGGACTGTCTAAAATCAAGCTGGGAACACGATGAGTTTGTCATGGAAGCACAGATGATTTGGGTTAGAAAGGACCTTAAATCCAATTCCACATCCCTGCCCAAGTTTATGTTTAAACCTGCTCTTAAATTTAACCCAGATTGCTGGAGTGGGGTCAAACCAGGGGATGCTTCATTTTGAGGGGATTTATGGCTAACAGGGAAGAATGAAGGCTTTGGCTTCCCCTTGGCTCCTCTGAGAGGCCTTTGCTGCCCACAGAGCCCAGCCCAGGCTCTCACCCAGGGCAGGGACTGGAGAACGTCCCCATCTGTCCCCCAGCCGTGGATCCAAGCCCAGGGCCCTGGGAATCAGCACTTTTCACCCCCATTTTCCCCTTGAAGAAGTTTGTGGCCTCCTCCTCCCCACCACAGCTGGAGATGCCACAGTGGCCAAGGCAAATCTGGCAAAAAAAAACCTCCTTGGGTCACTGGTTCCACCTGGAACCTCCCCTGTGACGCCGAGTGCCTGGGTTTGGTCTCAGCATTTTTTGGGCTGTTTTTTTTCTGTTTTGCTTTGCAGGTATTGAAGAGCCAAGGGAGGGGCCACTGCAGAGTGAAACTCTGTGTTCTCACCGGGTATTTTCGGTGAAGCCCTTTCTCTGAAGGGCTGGGGATTATTTCCTCTCCCCTTTGTGCCTGGGTTTTGGCAGGAAACATCTCGGAGTTGATGTCCCACAGGCTTGGTGCTAGGGAGGAGCAGTGGGGTGGGATGGGAAGCTGAGCTGGTGCCAAGAGTGGGACCTGATGGGTTGAGCTGTGAGAAGCCAAAACTTGGGCCCTCTCCAAAACCCAGCTCAGGCTGATCCCTGTGGTGGATCCCCATTTCTGATGGATTTATGACTCCTCTCACATTGCTGGTGACAAACTGGGTGAGGTCCCTCTTGTCCCCAGCTGCCAGCACTCTTCTGTCCCCAGGCAGCTTCCCTGAGCTCTCAATGTCATGATCCTGGACACTGGACAGGGGGCCAAGGACAGGCTTTGCCCATGGGAAACTTGGACATGAGCCTGGGGAGTTGGAAGTGGTTTCATCACTGGGGGTTGGAGCAGAAACCAGTTTGAGCCCATTGCTGGGTTGGGAGATGGGTGAGAAAATGGGATTTGCAGGTGAAACTCTTTGGGGTTGAGCATGGGGCTGTCACCCCTGGGACCTGGACACCGGCGGGTCCCCAGCCATGGTGACCCCTCTGCTGGTGTCCCTGCTCCTCCTCATCACTGGGAGCTGCTCTTTGGGGGTCACCTGCAGGTCAGGCTGGAGGCTCAGTGCTCTCACCTGGCTGAACTGGTGCATTTCACCTCTTCTGCTGAACCTTGGTGGGTGGAGCAGGGCGTGGGACACACCTGGCTGAGCCCACAGCGCCTGAAACACCTGGGGTCTGAGCCCTCCTTGGCTGCTCCTTCTGATCCCTGGCCCTCCCTGCTGGTTTCTCCTGCTCTCTGTGTTGGGGAAGATGAAACAGGAAAGCCTTATAAATATGATTGTCTGGCAAAAGATTTTGAGAATATGGAAACTATAAATGAGATTGAAATGAAAGCAAGCTTTGAGATCCTTCAGTTACTGAACAACTGGAAAACAATGGTGTGGCCAGCTGAAGGTAATCCCCTTTTGATGAAACAACACCCTCTGCTTGCAGACAGTCCATGGGTCAGAGGAGACCCTGCCAGCTTGGCAGAAGGGGCCCAAAGAGGAGTTTTTAGGGTTTAAAATGTAACACAGTATGGTAATGTAGTGATTCTTACAGGCTGTATGGAAATGCTATAGGATTTGTATCTTGTACTAGATTGGTTAGTGAGAATTATAATTTTCAACACAGAAGAAGATTTATTGTATTGGAACGGGAACTTTGCTCTCTTAGCTCTTGCCTCTTAGCTCTTGCTTTTTACTCTCTTACCCCTTTTACACTCTTATGCTTTTACTCTCTTACCCTCTCATCCTCTCTTCTCTCAGCCTGCTCTGAGCTGTGCCTGGCAGCTCCCAGCAGGGCCCTGCACTTGGCCCTTTGCAATAAACCCCAAATTCCATGACCTGGCTTCAGAGATCTCTCG